CTAGTTTGCAATCAATATGACGGCCTGACCTCTTGACCACAAAGCCCAGGTATTTAAAAACATACAGAAATCATATAGAAAAACATACAGAAATCAAAACATACAATTGTATGGTTTTGTATTTTTATTGTTAGATCGTGTTGTGAAGTATGTGCAGATTGTTTAATGTTATTGTATATTTTTGTGGTTTATTCTTAAAGTTTTGTTTATGACTGTTCTGTTATATTTTTTGCTACTGTTAGGACTTGTTTTTTTAATGTTGTAAGCCACCTTTGGCATGATTTAATGGGGAAGAGGCAGACAAGTGAAGGGCAATGATGATAAATGATGGTGATGGAAGAGGCTTTGTAGGCCATCGAGTCCAGGGATGTGCAATGTGATGCCGCTGGACTACAACTCCCATCACCTCCGTCCATTGGCCATGCTGGCAGGGGCTGATGGGAGTTGGAGTCCAACAACATCTGGAGGACACCACATTGCCTGCATTGGCCAGAGGGCTAGAGTAGATCAGGAGTTGTCTAGAGATCCTAGATTTGCTGTGCCTTGAAAGAAAGAAACATGACAACAAGGAAGAAGTGTACACACTCCTCTGATGACCTCCAAACCATCCTAAATATCTTCACAGTAGCTTACGAAAAGCTTGGCCTGTCACTCAACATCCAAAACGCCAAAGTGCTATACAAACAAGCACAAAACAACACCTCTGCAGCGCTACAAATCCAAATCAGTGGTGTAACGTTGGAAAGTGTCAATCACTTCTCCTACCTGGGCAGTTACCTTTCCACAAGGGCCAACACTGGTGCTGAAATCCAGCATCACCTGAGCTCTACGAGTGCGGCTTTCTCCCGATTGAAGTGCGGAGTGTTTGAGGACTGGGACATTCACAGGGAAACCAAAATGCTTGTTTACAAAGCTATAGTACTACCAACCTTAAAGTACGCTTGTGAAACATGGACCACTTACAAACACCATCTCCAACTCCTTGAAAGATTCCATCAACGGTGTCTCTGAAAAAAATTTACACATCACTTGGGAAGACAGGTGAACTAATGCCGTGTACAGTGGTACCTCAGGTTAAGTACTTAATTCGTTCTGGAGGTCCATACTTAACCTGAAACTCTTCTTAACCTGAAGCACCACTTTAGCTAATGGGGCCTCCTGCTGCTGCCGCGCTGCCGGAGCACGATTTCTGTTCTCATCCTGAAGCAAAGTTCTTAACCTGAAGCACTATTTCTGGGTTAGCGGAGTCTGTAACCTGAAGTGAATGTAACCTGAAGTGTATGTAACCCAAGGTATCACTGTACTGGAAGAAGCAAAGATCACTAGTGCTGAAGCAATGATTCTTCAACATGAACTTGGTTGGATTGGTCATGTTGTTCGGATGCCTGATTATCGTCTTCCAAAGAAATTACTCTCTTCCGAACTTAGAAATGGAAAGCATAATGCTGGTGGTCAACAAAAGAGGTTTAAAGACTCTCGCAAGGCAAATCTAAAAAAGTGTAGGATAAACACCGATAACTGGGAAACACTGGCCTGCGAGCACTCCAGCCTTTACCCAAAGGTGTCATGGACCTTGAAGACACTCAAACTCAGGACGAAAGGAAGAAACATGCTAAGAGGAAGGTATGTTTGGCAAACCCTCACCGTGATCAACTCCCACCCGGAAACCTGTGTCCCCACTGTGGAAGGACGTGTGGATCCAGAATTGCCCTCCACAGTCACTTACGGACTCACCGTTAAGACCGTGTTCATGGAAGACAATCTTACTTGGCTACGAGTGATCGCCAAAGAAGAAGAGACAATAACAACTGTTGCTTTGACTTATCTTTGCTGCACTTTTGTTGAGTTTTAGCCCCTCCAGAAAGCAATGGGTGGCAGCGTTAGGGGAAGTCCTGCAGGACAACCTAATAAAGCAGAATAAATCCACCACTTAGTCACTATCAGTGTAATGAACATGTGGCAGAAATGCACTTGCCATAAACACCTGTCTCGAGGGGCAGCAAAGCGGTTAATAGAAGAGAGCCTTTGTCATGTGGGGCTTCTTGAATCACAGCTGTATTATGAGCAGGCAAGGCTAGTGGGACTGGGGTGGGGGGCGTTAGGGGCCAAGGAGCAAGGGAGAGGAATTTCACATTGATTCCAGCTAAATAACCTGTTCGCTGCCTGCAGGCTTCCAGCATAGCTAATTCCTATTGACAAACACATCATCCGTGAATATGCCTAATCCTTTATCAAAGCCATTTCAGCTACTGGCCTTCACTATATCCTTCAGCCTTGAATTATTTCAGTTTTAACTGTGGATTAGGTCGGTGGCTCCCAACTGGTGATCCACAGCCCCAGAGGGTCCTTGTAACTCACTCAGGGCGTCCATGGTACCATACACATAACAAAAACTACCACAGAGATTGTAGGAGTGCAAATATCCAGAGTGTGGGGTCAGATGGGATTACTATGAGGAATTATAAAATATGCATCAAGCCATTGCATCCGCTGTGAAAGCATGGCGTTGACTGGGTTTAATTCATTGACAATTTCTGATCAAATCCCACAGCCCTCTGCATCTCTGGCCATTTCCTCTACTGTCCATTTCTCTTGCTTGACAAGTCGCGTACTGCAGGCAGGCATCCTGGGTCATCAAAGACAGTGGGCAGCTTCTTTTGATGTAGCTTTTCTGATATGTTAATCTTAGGATGTTAATCTTAGGGCCAGGAAACAGATCTCACCTGAAAGTGACAATGATCGCTGTCTTCCTGGCAATCCTTCTTATCATGTGTATTGCTTGTTTATGACCTCAGGGGTTGCTAAATGCACTCATTTGTAGTTTTGTTTTATTTACCCGAGGCTTAATTAGTTTTGGTAGTTTAACTTTGTCCCCATGTGGGGTTTGTTGAAATGCTCAGAAGAAATCTGATTGGTTCTTACGAACACTCTGTAAAAAGTTCTTTTGTGAATAAAACGACCTGGGCCAGAGGGTGGAGACAGATTATTATACGTACCCTTCCCACAGTCTTGCTGGTTCAAGCCTCTGTGTGTATTCTTATTAATCAGAGTTCAATCCTTCCTTTACTTTGAGAACGCCTCAGAGATGTCGAGATTTTCAAAAGCAGCTTGGCTCTTGAAAAACAGAGGGTTCGCAGTGCTTAGTTAACTGGGAACCACTGGATTAGTTGAAAATAGTCTTTCCTTTTGAATGGTCTGGGTTTCCCCCCTGTTATAAGTTGTTATAATGTTATAAACCTTTTGCATACCAGGTGTGAACGACCAAACTCATTGTACATCACTGGGAGTATCCCGGTGTGATTGTTCTCGGCGTACTGCATATTTTCCTGGAGAGTCCCTCGCTCTCACACACTGTAAGTCCTTTAGACAATATTTGCTGTAACTGAGCACACAACAGCATGCTCAGTCTTGACGAGAGACGAACTGCGAATGTCCAAAATGCCCAAGCTTCCCATTGGTTGCCATGGCATTCTCCCCCCCCCCCGCCTCCACCCTGGACCGTTTCATAGCAAACCCTCACCCTGAGACATTGACTTGCATTCAGTCCTAGCCAGTGGCAAAGTCAGAATACACATCAGGCGAGCCAGAAACATCCAACAGTCTGCTTTTTCATTGGTTACTGTACCCAGAGGGGAGTTTTAGCTTAATAAAGCCTTTGCAGGTAGAAAAAGAGATAACAGTCTCCCCAGTTTCTGCTAATATAAGCCAGCCAGCACAGCTGTGCTCATCTGAGCGTTTAATATACCACAACGTGACTATATGCTACGTCTGTGAGGGCCCTCAAAGATATATTGATTTAAAAATATTCAAGTTTCAGAGAGAGAGAGAACAAGAGTGCAAGTCTGAACTCGTCTTACAGTCATACATTGGGTTGAATGTGCTTCGGGTTGAGCATTTTCGGGTTGCGCTCTGGGGCAACCTGGAAGCAACGGAATGTGTTACTTCCGGGTTTTGCTTCTCGCACATGCGCAGATGCTCAAAATGACGTCACGCGTATGCGTGGAAGCGGCAAAACGTGATCCGTGCATGCACAGACGCGCCGTCGCATCTTACATTCCATTCAGGATGCGAATGGGATCCGGAACGGATCCCATTCGCATCCCGAGGTACCACTGTATTTAGGAGTGAGAGAGAGAGAGAGAGAGAGAGAGAGAGAGAGAGAGAGAGAGAGAGAGAGAAAGAAAGAAAGAAAGAAAGAAAGAAAGAAAGAAAGAAAGAAAGAAAACTATCTAGTCATCTCACCTGCCTTAAAGCCTTCTGGCCAGTGATGTGTTTCACAGTACGTGGTTGGCACCAATGTTTAAATTTAATTAGAATCTCATTAGCATTATTTGAAAAACTCAAATTGCTTGTATTTAAAGGCATTGAGTTTTTAGCTGTTTTACATTTTCATTTGGCCCTGCGTGTAAGAGAGCTGACCAGCTCTGGTTGCTGCTGCAAAAATTCTGACTTTGGTCCTGGTTCTGCTCATTTGATGTTTTGCATTGCACCTGGAAAGAAGGGAAGTTGTTGCCATGCCTTGAACCAGGCGTGGGGGACCTTTCCTAGACAAAGGCCACATTACCTTGGTGGAAACCTGCTGGGGGCCACATTCAAGTGCAGGGCTGAGCCGGATGCAGACATAATTTAAACACCCTTAACACCCACATAGACTCACTTAATCACACACTTTCAAAAAGCTATTTCCCATGGAAAAAGAGACATATATTTAGATTGTTATGAGAAAAAAACTGCTCTTTCCCTTATGGGGTACCCAAGAGCCCATATAGAGTCCTTTTGTAGGCGCTGGGACCGAGCGACAGGAGCGCACCCCGCATCAGGGATTCGAACCGCCAACCTTTCGATCAGCAAGTCCTAGGCGCTGAGGCTTTAACCCACAGCGCCACCCGCGTCCCAGCCTTGGCTGCTAGAGGCCCCCAATTTCCAAAAAGCCATGGGGGCAAGGGCAGGGGGGAAGTTGTCCAATGGCAACAGCAGCCGCCTCCCCAACCTTAACTGAATAATCATGGTAATATGTGGGAAGTTTTTTTGGCGTGAACTGTAAGAATCTGATCTGATATTTTAAGCAATGTAGTTAATGTGTTGTTTGTTATGTTGTTTTAAGTGTGATGTGCAACTTGAAAATGAATAAAAATATTGTTAAAAAAGAAGATCACGTCTATATCTATGGCTATAAATGCAGTGGTTTTCTATCTAACTACATATATTAATTAACATAGCAAATTAAGGCCGATTATGTTATCACTAATTACTTTTGTTGTGAATGATCACTGTGTTTATGTTGCATACTTTAAACTCAACCACTTAAGAGATTTTCTTTACAATTAATTGGCATGCAAATTCTGTTGAATAAATGCATAATAATCTCAGCCTATATTTTATACATTCCATAGTCATTTTACTCCAATGTTTAAAACATTTTAAATAATAGTATTGCTAACTATATGACATATTAGTCACTTACTACAAGAAGTCTCTAAACAATTTATAAAAAAGTTAAGGCACAAATGTGTAGCACAAAACCATAACAATACATTTCAGTAACACCATTTCAATAATCCATAAACAGACCCAGCAGAACCCCCTCCCTGCAGAATATTTCATCAAATAAGCCATTATCTAGCTACTCATAATCCATCAAGTTTTAGTTTAGTGCCGGAAAGATGGTTTATGATGGTGCCAGGTGGACCCCTAAATAAATTTGTGAAAGTCCTGGATTCTTCATTCTTTTAGCAGCTTCGGGTGTTTTAATAAGACATTAGTACTAATAAGGTGGTCTTGCTTCTGAATAATCATGCATAGGATCACATTCTACACCTATGTTAACGCCTGCAAAACAGAACCTTTTCCAATAAAACCCAGCAATGGCACTTTTTATAAGATGCTACTGCTTCTTTTTATTTTTCGTGATTGTAATTTTAAAATTGCTTTTAACACTGTATTTTAAATGGCTGCAACCCAGCACAGGGCCTTAGAGCGAAGGGTAGTTATTGAAGAAGAAGAAGAAGAAGAAATGGAAACGGGGTAAACTTGGTGCTTGGGTTTCCAAAAGAAATGTATTGTGGGTGTCTTCAAGTGACTTCTGATTTGCCCAGCCTCCTCACCTCACCTGATTTTTTTTAAAACAACAACCCCTTCCCAAATGAATGATCCTGGCTACATTGTCTTACAAAAAGCTTCTCTGATAAATTAAGTCTGCAAGCCTAACTACCTGTTAGTTGGTCTCTAAGGTGCTACTGGAAGGATTTATTTTTTGTTTCAACTACCTGGGAGTAGAGATGTTGGAGAAATTACAAAATATATATCAAAATGTTAGCCCTGTATGGCATGTGGGAAGGCCCTGAGTAAGTCTTTTGGGGTGGGTATTGTGTGCATGTAAGTGAGAGGGAGTGAGGGAGTGAGGGAGCATCTCAACCTCTGGGCCCAGTGGCATAGGTGCAATTGTGCAAATATGGAATTTTTCAATTTGAAATAATAGACCAAGTCATGTGGACAGAAACTATTTTGGAAGAAGAAAAAGTTGGGCGACAAAAATGAAATCAGAGGAGAAATGAAATGAAAATAATTTTAGTATGAACGTGAAACTCCATGACCATGAACTGCTAGCAACAAAGTCTTTAAATCTGCCCCAGGCTTTTTGCTATAACAGACTTAGCACAGCTACCCTTCTGGAACAAGTCTTATGTGAAACAAGGACGACGGTATCCAAAACCAAATCAAATACAGACTTCAAACAACACAGTCATATTTTGCCATGACAAACATCTCTCCCAATAAGGACAGGCACCCAGGTGTTTAATATATTATTGTTTCTAAGAAGAAAGCACATTCACAAGTCAGGTTTTGTTGAGTCTTCGCCCAGTTGAAGTGACTCTGGAGGCCAAGAGCTCCCCCGTGTGATTTGCAGGGAAATTACCAGAAAACGTGTTCCATTAACTTGGCATCCTCTGCACCATCAGGAATTTCAACCACTCCTGCTTGGGCAGCCAGGATCGTGATAAGAAACTTGGATAGTTTTTCTCTCCTGATACTCTGGCATATTTCAGCTATTTCCTTCCAGCCATCCACATTGCATTCTTTATCCTTTACAATAATTTGTTCCAGCACGTCTGTAAGGACATTCGACAAAGAAAAATGTGAAATAAAGTCTTGCTGCTTTTCCTTTCTGCTTGAATCATGAGTCGTAGAAAACAGAAACATGCATACCTTTGGATAGGATCCTACAGTGGTGCCTCGCAAGACGAAATTAATCCATTCCGCGAGTCTCTTTGTCTTGCGGTTTTTTTGTCTTGCGGTTAGCGGCTATTAGCGGCTTAGCGGCTATTAACGGCTTAGCGGCTTTAAGAAAAAGAAAAAAAACTCGCAAGAACTCGCAAGACGTTTCGTCTTGCGAAGCAAGCCCATAGGGAAATTTGTCTTGCGGAACGACTCAAAAAACGGAAAACCCTTTCGTCTAGCGAGTTTTTTGTCTTGCGAGGCATTCGTCTTGCGGGGCACCACTGTAAATCCATTACAGGGCAATCTATACATGTCTATGAAGAAGCCCCACTGAGTTTGATGGTATTTACTCTTAGTAAGTAAATTTGCATTCTTCAGGTTTTGCCCAAGATAGTATGCAAAGGATTGGAACCTAACACCACAGAGGTCTGCACTGATGAACTGCAACCTATGCATGTTTTCTTGGGAGCAAGCCCCATTGGACTCAGATTGACTTTTGAGGAAACATAGGTTGGATTGCAAGGTTGAACTATGTCCCAGCAGACGTAAGATGCCAAGGTAGAGCAGGTCTTTAGAACAATGGCATCCATGTTAATATTATGTTTCCAAGCTTAAATCTTAAAGCTGGGGTAAAAGGAAGCCATAAATAATTGCTACATTTAGTCACAGGTTAAACATGCTGACTTTTTAGTCAGATTGTCCTCTATGAAAGGATATTACCATAACTGATTAGCTAATTGAGTAAAAGCAACAGAGTTAAGCCATCACGTTTAGTAGAATATCTGCATCACATATCCAATTAAAGCACCTTTCTCCAACTTAAAAGGTAAAGGTAAAGGGACCCCTGACCATTAGGTCCAGTCGTGGCCGACTCTGGAGTTGCGGCTCTCATCTCGCTTTATTGGCCAAGGGAGCCAGCGTACAGCTTCCGGGTCATGTGCCAGCATGACTAAGCTGCTTCTGGCGAACCAGAGCAGCACACGGAAACGCCGTTTACCTTCCTGCCGGAGCGGTACCTATTTATCTACTTGCACTTTGACAGGCTTTCGAACTGCTAGGTTGGCAGGAGCAGGGACCGAGCAATGGGAGCTCACCCCGTTGCGGGGATTTGAACCACCGACCTTCTGATCGGCAAGTCCTAGGCTCTGTGGTTTAACACACAGTGCCACCTGCGTCCCTGAAGCCCATGGTATGAAGGCCAAAAACAGACATGGCAGTGGGAGACCTCTCACCTGTTCTTAAAAGTTTAATTGAAGCTGAGAGCAGAGAGGGATCCAATTGGGACTGCATCCCTGAAGCCCCTGCTCCTGATTAAAATCCTCCACCTGTCCCCATCCACTACCTACCCTTGTGAGGCCAAACATACCTGCAATATACAGGTGCCTGTAGATATGGGATAAATTGCAAGTACATGCAGTGACATTTCTACTGGAAAAACCCCAGCTGTGCTCACCCCTGCCTTCCTTGGAGATATCTTCCAACAATCGTATGCAAATGACTTTGTGTTCTGTGTCGATGAGCGTCAGGACTGTTTCCCCGAGGGACAAGAAGGGTGGGTGCCCATTCCACTCTTGAGTTAGGCAGCTCATGAGTTCTACACTTGGGCAATGTTGCAGTAGGAAGATATAGTCCTCTGAAACCAAACAGCAATTCCGTTAGAAAGACCATCTGAAAACAATACAATCAACCATGCCTGTAAGTGGGGCACGAGGTGCACAAAGTGTCTCCAGTTCTTTGCTGGTAAGCAGAGATCTACCATCTTTGAAAACGCAAGATGGACTTTAGGATCCCATGGATGGACAGCAAATGAACTATTTTCCATGTAGAGCTAATGCTTGTTTCAAACCATAAGCAATAGGGAGAGGGGAAGAGCCATCATCACTTTCTCTTTCTCACACACAGAGCATTGCAAAAGTGTTTGAAGATGGCTGAGAAGCATTTATTCATTCAACATATAGCTTATCATTGAATGAGGAAAATAGCACATGTAATTAAGGCCTGAAAAAGCAGCTACTTGATGCATCATTACCATCCCCAACATTTGAGATCACGAGGGGAAGTCCTTTTCTGGATTTCCTGGCTTCTGGAGTCAGGCATGTGAGCTACAAGGAACAGGGCCTTCTAAGTATTAGTGCTGTTCTTGTGAAACTCCTCGCTGAAGGATGCCCACTAGGCTCTTTCACTTGCCACTTTTCAGAAGATGATTAAGATTTAAACAGGTCTTTGGTTAATTTCACTGCTGTCGTGTTGCAGTGAGATATAAATTAACAAGGCTTGGGAATCTACCTCTGGGAAAGCGTTTGCATTGCTGAAGTAGATCCATGGCTCCATAGATCTGTCCCTGTTTGCACAAGCATAGGGCGGCTTTTTTGTGCGCTCCACATTCAAGGTAGACAATCTGAGCCAAAGCGTAGCACTGGGACTCATTGTGCTTATCCATCTGTGCATAATTGAAGATTGCATCGCCGGCTTCCTCACAGAATGCCAGTCTAGGGGAAACAAGAGCAATTAAACATTCTAGGGACTTATCAGGCTTTGGGGGTATTGTGAAGGATTTCAATGTGGAATAATTGAAATAATGATACCTAGGATCATTTTGTAACTCACTTTGACTTTAGACTTAGTGGCGGGGGAGAGTAACTAATATAAAATATAATAATAATACAATAACAATTTATAATCTAAGTGATGCAAAGTAAAAAAAGAAAGGAACAGGAAGAGAAAACAAGGAATTGAGAAAAGTCTTGCTCATAAGGCAATGTTGGTGTAGGACTCTCTCTGCACATTCCAGGAGTTTGAGCATTACCCAAATGATTCCCATGCTGGGAAAGTAACTTCTGAGATTCTGCTCAGGTGCTTCCTGTTGAACACAAATCTGCTTGGTCCCCCGCTGCCACCCACATGCTGCCTCTGCCTCACTTTCTTCTCATCCTGGCCTGTGCTCAGCCCCAATGCAGTTGGGTCTGACAGAGCCAGGCTGCCTCAGTTTCAGAGTTAACTCTTCACATTTTGAGAATTGTTGTCCACAGAAGTACAATCAGCAGGAGCATCAGTAATGCATCTGGATCTGCCTTCTTTGGAGCCAGATCAGTGGTTCGCATGGCCTAGCAGACCTGTGCAGAATGGGGGGCAGCCAAGTATACTTTATTGCAGATATTAATATTGTGCACTTTGAAGCAATAGGATGAATTAAAAACTGGTTCCTCTTGCAATAAAAATTGTCCAGACCCAAAATATGGTTTCAAAGCTTTACTAAAAGAATTTTCTTCAAACAGATAAAAATACAAAAAATGATACAGTGGTACCTCGGGTTGAGAACTTAATTTGTTCCAGAGGTCTGTTCTTTACCTGAAACCGTTCTTAACCTGAGGCATGCTTTCGCTAATGGGGTGTCCCACTGCCGCCCTGCCGCCGCCACACAATTTCTGTTCTCATCCTGAGGCAAAGTTCTTAACCTGAGGTACTACCTCCGGGTTAGCGGAGTTTGTAACCCAAAGTGTTTGTAACCCGAGGTGTTTGTAACCCGAGGTACCACTGTACATCCAAATAGTTGCATACCAAATGGGCCTGAAATCAAAGGTTTGTCTATCTCCACTGCCTCCATTACAGCCTGCAGCTGTTTTCTCTCCAGGAAAGAGAGACTTCATTGGCACACCTTTGTCTTCAGTGGCTTGAGAGAACAAAAGACACCCTCAAAATGGCAATTTGCAACTGAATATCCCTTCCATGTGATGTAAAGTTAAACACCATGTAAGAGAGCCAGCAGATATACACCAACAGGTAATTATCAACCTGGTGGCACTTAGAGAGCTCCTAGTACAGCTCAATGGAATTTCCCATGCCCTTTTAGCAATACACATACAGTGTGATTTTCCGTTTCAATGTACAATTAAACAGTTATACTTAACACACTTGACCTGGGCCTCAGAGGGATAAGCTGGATGTGGGAGAGGAGGGCCAGGGGCCTGCTAGACTGTCATGGTAAGAACAAGACTCCTGCCCCCAGGCTTCAAACAAGCTCTGAATGGGCCTGTGGCCCAGTATTGCCTACTCTGAGGCCCAGTGGCTCCCCAGAGGGCTTTCCAGCATAAAAAGCACATGCTCTACCACTGAGCTATGAACCCTCCTTGGATGCTCCGAGTGGCCACTTACCTGTGCATGGTGACCCAGTGCATCACCAGGTCTAACCGTTTCTCATTCAAGGCACACTGGATGGCTTCAGCTACCAAATGGCTTGAAAGTGGCTGCTTAGTAGCTATGCATGTGCTTATTAGAGCTTCGCAGTACATGAGCAGAGGGAGAACCTTCCCTTTGATTGGGCCAACACCTGAAAGGGGAAGTCAGTAAGTTTATTTTTTAAAAAAATTAAGCAAGCTATGGAAGACAGGAGTGCCTGGCGTGCTCTGGTCCATGGGGTCACAAAGAGTCGGACACGACTAAACAACTAAACAACAACAACAACAACAACATGCTTTTGCTTGGGCATTTTTCTTCTCTGCACTGCTGATTCCTCCTCAGTTCAGATTCTCCACTAAGGGAGCCTTAATTCCAACCTTGGATTTATATAATTGCTTGATCTTAGGGCTGATAAGATTTAAAGAAATGAGGAAAATCTCATAGAGGAGTAGGGAGGGGGGAAACAAGTTGTGGAAAGTGAGGAATGGTGGGTTTAAAAGGACAGAGGGACAAATATATTTAGCTAGCTATCAGTTTTAAATTTTTTTATCCAGCGCAATCACAAAGTAAGGTAGCAACCAGGAAAATTTAAAAAATTGCATTTTAATACTACAGGCTTTGATGAGACTTCAGGTGTAAAGAAATCTGAGAAAATATATCTACATAATCTTCTAACCTGCTACACTAATGCAACTACTTAGGGTGCTCTTTTGGTTGGTTCTGTCTGTTTGGCTGTCAGAGTCTTGTAGTACCTTACAGATTCAGAAAATTGAAAGGTACCTCAAAAGCCCCTTCCAGTGCAGAAAATCTTCTGCTACAGCATCCCTGATAGGCTGGCTATTCAGCGTCTGCTACTGAGAGTATCTTTCTGCACTCTTTTAATAGTCTAACCTGACATACTAATTATGCTACTCAGAGCACTATATTGATTGATCTAAAACAGGAAAGTCATATAAAACCTTAAATATTAATGAATGTATTATGACATAAGCATTTGTAGACTAGACTTTATCAGATGCAGGAAGTGTTGTCCATGAAATCCCATACCTAATAAATGTTAGTTGTTAAGGTGCTTTAAGTGGTTTGTGCTACAAGAAACAACACGGCTAGAGGAAGTTAGCTGATCTAAGAAGCTGCAAGGGAGAAAGACCACATCCGAGGATCTCCCTCATTAACATCCTTTCAGCACCAAACATAAACTTCTCTCTTCACCCAAGGATTTAAAAGGTTATGGTAAATGTCCTTTTTATTGCTGTTTTCTGCTGCTAAAGGTTTGCTGTTTTGCTGGATCTGTTCATGGGTCACTAAAATTATTACTGCAATGTGTTTCATTTGCTTTTATGTTATGCCTTATTAATATTTTTTTGTAAGCAGTTTAGAAACTTATATATATCTATTGAGTGATTAATAACTCATATACATACATACATACATACATACCCCTAAATTTCTCCATGGTTTCTTCATTGTGGAGGATTCCTCTTGGACAGTTTGCTGCATATATGGCAGCAGCCTCAAACTGACTACGGGAAAACAGTTCATTGAACCTGGCACAGGTTAAAAGAACATAAAGGTTCAAAGGCACAGGCAGTGGATGCAAAAACAATTCCATGCTTGGCAGTGGATGTACACTAGCCAGACACAACCCCAGAAGCTGTGTAACATGGGTATGACAGTCAAACTAGAAATCCATAGCAAGATGCTCTTCTTTCATGCTCTTGCGCACAGCAGGACAGCTGTGGTGAGGAGCAAACCATCTCTTTCCAGCCTGCTGACCCCATTTTTATCTGTTTTATTTGTTCAATTTGTATACCACCCACAGGGCAATTCACAACATAAAAATACAAAATGAGAACATAAAATATATAATAAAAACCAACACAAACAAACAGAAAACCCTCCCGCAAACCCATTTAAAAAGGACATAAAATGTTAATCAGCCCCTGGTTAAAGAGAAAAGTCTTCGCCAGGCACCTAAAGATATGTAATGAAGGCGCCAGGCAAGAAGCCCTGGGGAGAGCCTTCCACAAATAGGGAGCCACTGCAGAAAAGGCCCGTTCTCGTGTTGCCACCCTCCAGGCCTCTCATAGAGGAGGCACACGAAGAAGGGCCTCTGAATAACCCCACTCTGAGGTTTTGTGTAGATGTTAAATAAATGGAAGGGGGCTGTGGAGAAGTAAGAGGGAAGTGAAACAGTGAAACGATGTTTTCTCATCTGAACCAGAAAGAGAAAACCATCTCTCTGGTTCTATTAGTCTTTTTGGTTATGGCTCTCTTCATAATCCATTTCTCCAGCAAACTCTTGCCCAAAGACACCATTTGCTTCTCTCCTTCCCTGCACCTCCATTTTCCTCATAAGCTTACATCAATTCCTGACCTTATTCTCTACCAGTGTCTTGCCTATCCAAGATCTCTGGGGCAGCCCATGCTAATGACTAACTTTGGCCCTCAAATACTTCTGTGCATTAAGGAGCAGAAGAAGCAGTTCTGTTTGGCACAGCCAACTGGCAAGGGATGCTCTTTGCTTCCTGCTACATCTCCCCAGTTCTGTTTTTCCCTGCAGTTTTGCTGGCTGTGTATGCCATGAACCCATATGTGTGAGATGCATTATTACTAGAGCAGTCAAGTACAATGTTTTTCTGTTGCCTAGAATGGACACACAGGGGAATGTGGCACCAAACAAGGAGGACTTCCTGTCATACCTGTGTGGAGCTTCCTCCCTGTGTGTGACCAGGTAAAAGGGAAAGGTAAAGGTACCCCTGCCCGTACGGGCCAGTCTTGACAGACTCTGGGGTTGTGCGCCCATCTCACTCAAGAGGCGAGGGGCCAGCGCTGTCCGGAGACACTTCCGGGTCACGTGGCCAGCGTGACATCGCTGCTCTGGCGAGCCAGAGCCACACACGGAAACGCCGTTTACCCTCCCGCTAGAAAGCGGTCCCTATTTATCTACTTGCACCCGGGGGTGCTTTCGAACTGCTAGGTTGGCAGGCGCTGGGACCGAGCAACGGGAGCGCACCCCGCCGCGGGGATTCGAACCGCCAACCTTTCGATCGGCAAGCCCTAGGCGCTGAGGCTTTTACCCACAGCGCCACCCGCGTCCCGTAGTGTGACCAGGTAGATGACACTAACTGACCAGATAAAAGGGCTGGCCACACAACCATCTCTCTCTTGGACTCTTACTCTTACTTTTGGAGTCTCGTGGCTCTTAGCCAGCGCATGGCTCAACCTTCACATAGGTTGGAGCCCATAAGCAGAAAGTCTGAGATGTAGCTCAGACTTCTTTTCACTGTAACCACAAGATAAAGCATGCCTTCAGATTACTGCTGTGAACTGAATGTGAGTAAAACTTTCTTCTTACTTTTAAAGAAGACTGTGCCATGTTATTATTATTTTAAGAGGGAAATAAAGGGGAAACTTACCAGGAACAATCCAGACTGGACAAGCCAGACTGGATTGCTTAATTAAAGGATTCTAATGAATCATCAACTTGCTTCCAATATGTTGCAAAGGGAATGTGCTCTGTTGTTTACTCACTAGCGTGAGTGAGGAAGGATAGTATCAAAACAATATATCCTCTCCTACCTTCCTTAATGTTCCCACAATCTGCAAACCAAGAGTGTGTCACAGAGGGGAGCGGGGAGACTGCTTGTGCCCACTGCTGCAGCTGTCAGAGGATCTCCACTGTACTGCTGCTCTCTGTTCAGTCGAGCAGTCTAATGACCGCAGTGTGCTTGATGTGCTAGTTGTGGCGGGGACAGACTAAAGGGCATGCTCCATCACCTTACCTTTCAATGTATTCAATCAGGTCTTCAGCCTCTTTGCTTTTGCTGGGGTCATGTTCAAATACGCTGGAAATGCTGCTGGCAAGTGTATCTGAATAGAGAAAGCCATCCATAGCAAGTTACCATTTTATGCTCTCAGAAAACAGAACCACCAGGAACCACAGGTTTACATCATTTTAGTATTACTTTAAATGACATGGCTTCTTGTAGTTTGGTGAAAGTGCTGAGAATTCTGTTTAGAGAGCTCTACTCTGCACTGCAGAATTACATTTCCCAGGGTTCTCAGGGGAGAGGAAGGTCTGTTAAACTAATTTTGGCCAATAGCGAATGTGCCCAAAGACATCGGCAGCTGTTTTCCAAACACTGTGCAGCATTCAGAAGTGACATAGTCTCTGTTCAAAAGGCTTACAGTTTGCAGTGGGCAGGAAAGACAGGAATGAGAGGTGTGGACTGGATGTAGTAGAGAAGTAAGGGGAGGTCAGCTGGAGATGATGGAACATGAAAGGTGAAGTTAGGATGGTTCAGGAAAGGATTTGCTAGCACATGAGTCAAAGGAAAGAGTGCAGGAAAGGAATCAGCTTGAGCATAAGGTGTAGCCTGTCGGAATTCTCCAGAGATATAAATTTGAAAACTGACAAATAAGGATGCCGGAGCATTCCAATGAAAACAGAAATGAGAGCAGAAGTTGCCCATGTTCTCTTATTTGTCCCATGTGTCCAGAAGCAAAAACAATCCAGTGAATACAATTGGCTGTTTCTTTCAATCTGCACATGATACATAATTTTTTAAAATAATATTTTATTAAGGATTTTCTTGTTTTACAGAAGTAAGTGTAATGCCTCGTATTTTTTTCTCCATGTAACATTTTTACAAACCCGTTTCATTTGTTGAGGCATTAGGGGGAGAAGAAAAAAAGAAAAAGAAAGAAAAAAGAAAGGGGGTGGAGGGAGGGAAGATGGATGGGGTTGAGGTTGGGTGGCGATGTTTCTATTATGCTTAATGTATGTAGAGTTTGGTGTCAGCGTTGTTTGTGTTGTTCACTTGTGTTCCTTTGGTGGTGAGAGAGTTTGGGGTTGGCCTAGGGTGTGATTGTTTGTTTGTGATTGGCTGTGGTGATCTTTGTTTTCGTGTGTGAGTGAGGTGGGTGGGTTTTTTGGATCAGGTTAGCCATATTGATTTGTATGCTGTTGGTGGATTATTGTCATTGTCTTGTTGGGCTGTGTATGTGATGAAGGGGAGCCATACCGCGGTGAAGACGTCTTCTTCTGTTTGTCCCCGTGTCAGTTTCAGTTTATTGGTTAATTTTTCTAGTAGGGCTGTTTCCCATACTATTTGGTACCACTGGCCCATGCTTACTCCTGACAGGTCTCTCCAGTGTCTGGTTATGGTGTTTCTGGCTGCCACATGATACATAATTGATTATGTTTCCTCTCATTTGCACAGTGTTTCCTTTGCAGCGAAATGAATGGGGCAGAATAACATAATGACAAAATTATTTTACATAACTTACATAATTAATTACATAAATTATGCAGTTTCACCTCAGCAGACAGCAAGAAGAGGAACTGCAGCAGTGTTGCATGTGATAGAAACAGAAAGCAATGCCTTCTCCCCCCCCCCGCCCCCCCCCCCCGGATGAATGAGCTAGAACAGATCAGGGGGCCGAAAGATTGGCATAAGGGGCAAAAGGAAAGCCCTGCTTTGGCAAATAATTTCAAAATGAAAGGGAACTTTAGCATTGCTGGTTGCCACATGGATCAATTGTTTCAGCATGCATCACAGACAAATGTTCTTCCCTGTCCTCCTTTGATGGTTTGCTGTTAGATGGCAAAATCTGAAGTCGTATGTTTTACCTTTTGAAAGTTTCTCATTTTCTATCATTTGAATGATGAGCTGCTGCAAGGTTTCTAAACTCCTGTCTGAACTCTCCCAGATATTCACAACGTTGACAAACTGTGATAGTCGATAAAAGCTACAAAGGAGAGAATAGTGCGTGAAACTGGCTGCCTGGCTGTGGCTCATCAAAAGGCTCTTGTTAGCTCCCTGTTAGTGATTCCACCTAAATTTCTCTTTTCCCCCAACCACACCTTTATTCTTATCATCTTGCTCCCTTTAGTCTTCAAAACAGAGGACTTGAGTTTTCTTTGCTACAGACCTTTCCTACTGCATGAACCTTCATCAAGTGGCTCACAATTTTGGATGAGGGAGAAATTCAATTCCGGTTGCGTTTACAGGCAAACTGACCTAATTTAGCCATTTCTTCTTCTTTTAATTAGCAATTTCCAAAACAATATGCAGACTGAAACACAGCCATCCTTCAAAATTCTCACTTACCTGAATACTGAAATGCAGTTCTCCAGCCAAGTAACATATACAAATATCTATAAATCTCTGTATAAATCCTTATCAATCTCTCTCCCATTTTTTATGCAAAGATAAAATGGGAGCAAACACATTGTCATAATTACTTTGTAAATTAGTAATACTCATGGCTAGTTTCTAACAGAGACCAACCCAAACCTCCTCTGAACAGGGCTGGAGAGGTGCTGGATTCAGCAGAGGCTGTTTGACAAGAAGATGCTGGGGAACTGAACCAGGGCCTAAGTGCTGTTGGTCCTCCCCATTAAATGAAATGAATGTCACTATGTTCTAGTTGAGAACCACTGATCCATCTGCCTGGTACTAGCCTAACTATATGGCTTAGGTCAAAGCTATCTGTAAAGGTAAAGGGACCCCTGACCATTAGGTCCAGTCGTGACCGACTCTGGGGTTGCGGCGCTCATCTCACTTTATTGGCCGAGGGAGCAGGCGTACAGCTTCCAGGTCATGTGGCCAGCATGACTAAGCCGCTTCTGGCGAACCAGAGCAGCGCACGGAAACGCCGTTTACCTTCCCGCCAGAGTGGTACCTATTTATCAACTTGCACTTTGACGTGCTTTTGACTGCTAGGTTGGCAGGAGCAGGGACTGAGCAATGGGAGCTCACCCCGTCGTGGGGATTCGAACCGCCGACCTTCTGATCAGCAAGTCCTAGGCTCTGTGGTTTAACCCACAGCGCCACCCACATCCCAAAAATGGGCTCTCCAATCTTCAGAGGAAGTCCGACTATCTTCACGAGCACACCCGGTGAAGATGCAGGACAGACTTTTTCAGTGGCTGCTCCTAGTCTTTGGGACTCTCTTCCTAGACAAGCTACACTGTCTCCCTTTCTTGTTATCCTCCCACTGGCAGGTAAAGCCTTATTATTATTATTATTATTATTATTATTATTATTATTATTCCAGCAGGCTTTTAGGAACTGACTGGTTTTTAAGGAAAGGGCTCTGTACTATTTTTTACTATCTGCATTCTAGAAGATACTTTTTAACATTAATTCCTCAGGTGGTTTAATTGCTTTTGAAAGATAACCCTTTATATGTTTTCAGCTCTGTCCATTTTATCTGTATTTGCTTTAATTTTTGTGTGCCTCCTTGAGTTCTGGCAGAAAAGGTGGGATACAAATACAGTCAAACCTCGGTTGTTGAACGTAATCTGTCCCTGAAGCCCATTAGGCTTCTGAAATGTTCAACAACCGAGGCACAGCTTCTGATTGGCTGCAGGAGCACTCAAGCAGAAGCCACATCAGATGTTTGGCTTCCAAAAAATGTTCGAAAACTGGAACACTTACTTCTGGGTTTTTGGCATTCGGAAGCCGGAATGTTCCAAAACGGAGGCTTTTGGGAACCGAGGTTTGACTGTAAATTAAAGTGTAAAAATAATAACAACTCTGTGTGTGTCCGTGCGTACCAGAGGTTGAATTACTAACTACAGTGGTACCTCGTGTTACGGACGGGATCTGTTCCGGAGGCCTGTCTGTGATGCCAAATGCCCACAACTCAAAGCGCTGCATCTGCACAGTTGTGCTTTGGCGCTTCTGTGCATGTGCGAGCGGCGAAACTCGGAAGTAACCCGTTCCGGTACTTCCGGGTTGCCGTGGAACGTAATGCAAAAAGACGCAACATGAAGCAGACGCAACACAAGGTATGACCGTATTAGGCATTCCGCCTCTGGGATCTAAGCCATGATCCAGCCTGATTATGAGGTTTGTACCTAGAGAGGACTGCATTGCTACTGCAACTCCAAAATAGAGGAGTGCGGTAGTGGTTGAAAGAAATAATACCCTGCAGAGCTCTTTTAAATACAAGGTAAATTTCAAGGTAAATGCAAGGTAAATTTTGGGAGAAGGGCAATGACAGGCCTAGACAGCATCTTGAGAAGTAGAGACGTCACCGTGCCAACAAAGGTCCGTATAGTTAAAGCCATGGTTTTCCCAGTAGTGATGTATGGAAGTGAGAGCTGGACCATAAAGAAGGCTGATCGCCGAAGAATTGATGCTTTTGAATTATGGTGCTGGAGAAGACTCTTGAGAGTCCCATGGACTGCAAGAAGATCAAACGCATCCATTCTCAAGGAAATCAGCCTGAGTGCTTACTGGAAGGACAGATCGTGAAGCTGAGGCTCCAGTACTTTGGCCACCTCATGAGAAGAGAAGACTCTCTGGAGAAGACACTGGTGCTGGGAAAGATGGAGGGCACAAGGAGAAGGGGACGACAGAGGACGAGATAGTTGGATAGTGTTTTCGAGGTTACCAGCATGAGTTTGACCAAACTGCGGGAAGTAGTGGAAGACAGAGGTGCCTGGCGTGCTCTGGTCCATGGGGTCACGAAGAGTCGGACACGACTAAACGACTAAACAACAACAACAAATTTCATGTTGCAAGGGGGATCTTTATACCAAAACTTCAGCAGCTCATTCTCTTTTTCAGCCGCATTTCGCTGGAGAAGGGCACGGTTGAGGTCCTCTTCAATGTCTACAGTGTTCTCCAGGGGGATGTACTTTGTCAACATGTCTTCTTTCAGGTCCCTCACCCTCTGTTGGAGGTGAGCCAGGTGGACAGAAAGGGCATTGATGTCGAGAGAATCTTTCATGCTGATGCCTGTTGGAAAAGGAGAAGCATAGGTTCCGGTGAACTCACGACTGTGATAGCACACCGATTACCTGGAAATTCAACTTTGTTAAAACAAAATCAAAGCTGTGGTCATTTTTCATTACATCCAGTTTACTCAAAGTCAAGTGTGACAGCTAAATTGCATTACTTGATTTTCCTTCATTGAAATCCACAAGACTTAAGTGAAAAGTCTGTAGCTATGGCCAGCTCATGCTCCAAATTTAAGAGAAACTTGATTGCTATATTAAAGAGAGCTGCTTCTCACCTGGAATGAGGGTGGCAGGGTTGATTGTCTTGGTCGGGGTTGGAGAGTCTTTTGCAGAGGATGTCTGCCTTAATGCTCTTACTTTCTTTATCAAGTTTGTGATTCTTTCAGAATTTTTCTCAATTATTTTTATCCTGAGAAAAGAAACAGTCATTGAAACATTAATCCAGCCTCTCTTGTGTAAGTGGCTTTCATGTTCAAAGACACCCCCACCCATTCTGACATGTGCCACCTTGTGGGGGCCACATGGCAATGATGGGCAGGGCCAGAGGCAAAAGTGAAGGGGGGATAATTGTTACTCTTACCTTTGCACAGTAGGTGAAATTTCAAGCATGCAAAACCAGAGATTTCTACACACACATCTCTTGATTCAGGCAAGCAAAGGAGCATTATTTCTGTTCAAGGGCATATTGTTGCCAGGGAAAAGGACTAGAGGAGATTGGAGGGCAGGGACATTGAGGAGCAGTGCTTTTATTTCTAAAAAAAATGTTTAGGAGTGCTCTCATTTTCCTACTCATATGGAAATACTGCCCCTCAATGAGTCCAAACTTAGATTCACAAAATGTTTAGGGGTATGCGTCCCCCCAGAAAAACAGCACTGGTGAGGAGAGCAGCCTCGGGACAGTTCCAAGGGTCGGTCAGAGAAGCCTAGAGGTCTGCATTTTGCCCTGTGCTGGATTTCTTCAGTAAGTACACCAATGGGATGTATGAGGCAACTTTACTTAATCAAACAGAACAGCGGCTGCGGGGGGACCCACAAACATGGAGTCCACAGGCCTATAAATTACAAAGGCTCTTATATGGAGGCATTCCTTCGCCTTACATACCCTCCAACATTTCTCCGATGGAAATAGGGATGTCCTATTCAAGACAACTTACCAAAAAAACAACAGCCACAGATTAAAAACAATAAAAAGCGGGGATTTGGGGGGGGAGGGGAGACACATTTTATAAATAAAGCATATCAGCAGACAGTAAACTAAATAACAAGCCATCAAAGGCTCTGACTGAAAAATATGCTTGCCAGGACAGAATTGTCAAGAGCTTGTTTAAAAGTAGACCAGGAAAATCATCCCAAATTTTAAAAGAAAGCATTGTTTGCTGATTTTACTTGACATTTCTTTCCCGAGAGCTTGCCACTGTACTCTGAAGAGTTGCAGTTTCACTACTTTCTTGTGTGGCTTTGAAGCCACACCATACATTTAAAGCACTCATACCACTTTAATAGGCAGGGCTCACCCTAAAGAATCCCAGCTATAATTCCTAGCACCCATAACAATCTACAGTTCCCAGGATTCTTTGTGGGGAACCCATGACAGTTCAAGTGGTGTTAAGAGTACTTTAAATGTATATTCTGGCAGAGAACTAGACTGAAACACGATCCATGAAAAATATGACATTAAACCGTACATAATTAAAAGTTTTTAACCCCATTTTACTAAGTCCATGCTGTTGTGCTACAGACTTGCTCAAAAATATGCTATGAAAGGCCATCCACCCCACCTCCTGTACTTAACAGTTGCCAAAGAGGTCCTTACTTTTCTTTCAGCTGACTAATTCTGTTCTTATAATACATGAGAGTTGTAGACTCGCAGGCTAAAATCTTTAATTTCCCATGAAGATAAAAGGCATTCTGTTGGCCCTTCTTTATTGCTTCTATGAAGGCATCATATTCTTGCTTGATTGTAGTCAGGATATTCTTGTACGCATTAGCATGCTCTATTATCTGTGTCAATAATATAGAGGCTGGTCATTTGTTTCCCCTGCTTTATAACATACTAGGCACAAGTTATGAAAAAGCTTCATTCCAAAATCCCTGGAAGACCCTTCCTTGCCAAGTCAGACCAAAGCAGCCTTTCCCCTTCCATATGGCAGATATTGCTTGTCAATGTGGTGCCTCAGGTTCCCACCAATACCTCCTAGGGCACCTGCAAAAGGTCTAAGTAAATATCCCCTCAAAAATCTACACTACAAGCGAGACTGCTTGTTCTTCCTGCTGTTTTCACTGCTTAAGTCTCTCCTACGTTGAGCTCCCTTAAACATGCTCACATTTCACTGAATGCCAGGATTGGACAGCCACCCTCCTATCTGTTCTGAAAAGAGGATAGGTGCAAAAAGAGCTTCGATGCCTCTCCCCACCAACACCACATTGATGGACTGGCTACATGTCACTAATACACCCGTTTAGTTTGCTTGTTTGTTTGTTTGTTTGTTTGTTTGTTTGCTATTTTACGCATTCCAGGACTAAGGCCCGGTATGATGAAGCCTAGCTCAATCACAAAATGTTCATATCCATATTAGTACTGATTAACACAGGCCCAGTAGATTCCTTGGCAAATGCCACTGGGAATAGGTACAGGATATTTATTATTATTTATTGAATTTATATACCGTCCTATACCTGAAGGTCTCAGGGCGGATCACAGGATAGTAGCTAGCAGGATGGACCATGAACCAGACTGGCTGCTGTTTTTCAGCCTCATAGGAACATAGGAAGTGGACTCAGACTGAGTCATGCCATTGGTTTCTCTTGCTCATTATCATTTACACTGACGAGCAGTGACCCTCCAGAGTTTCAGACAGGTCCCACCTGGAGATGCCAGGGATTGAATCTGGGACCTTCCTTCATGCAGAGCAGATTTATGATCTCCTCAGTCCTCCCACATTCAATATGGGGGGATAATACTACTGATCTACCTTACAGGGTTGTTGCAAGAATTGCTGTAAAAATGGATGGGGAACATTTTGCACACTTAAGAAATTCTATATAACGCTGCACACTATTATTTTGCCACTGATTTCAGTGAAAGTCAGAATACGTTCCCAAACTCCTAAGATCGCACCCATTTGTCTTGAAAAGCGAAATGTTCTTAGCAATGCTTGGTTACCATTTCAAACACATTTCTGTATATTATGTAATACTCCTCAGCCAGTCCTTGCTCAGTACAGCCCACTTTCTCAATTTCTGAGTGGATGTAACTCTGGATGCTCTCCAGAAATTCCTTCTCCGCCTCGGGGATGATAGGAGGCAACACTGAGCACTTTCTTGCCTTGACACTGGCAGCTTTCATGACGGAGGAGCAGCTAAGCTTCTACTGCAGACAGAAGTTGAGAATTCTCAGCTGTTTCTTTCGACTGAAACACTTCAGTCAAAATCTAAAAGAAAAAAGTGACAGGGACACTGTTAAAATAATTTAGAACTTCTCTGGCCTGTCTCGCTGTCTTCAGTGGGACTTATTCGCAGATAAACTAGTGCTGGTCTAGATGCAGCAATCAAGCATCTCACTGTGGAATAGTCATGTTAAATTCATCTTTGTGCAAGTATTCAGTAGCAGTGTCCTTTGTGAGGCTGGTCCAGAGGCTGAAGCTATAGTAACTAGTTTGCTTGCTGGGCAAACTACCGCCAGCATGAAACACCATGCTTCTGGGATGTGCAAACAGCCAATCTGCTCACTGGGCAAGTTCAAGTCTGGTACTAGCATGTAAAACCCTCAAGTGACTCCATTTTCCAGGGTTTACAGAAGCCGTCCCGGTTTATGATTTGATCCAGACTGTCCCGCTTTTCCATACGACGTCTCTATTTTCATCGCATAAATGCTGGAGGTTATGCGACCCCCAGACCAAGGCAATAAGTAACTATGCAAAGTTTAGAAGAATCTGAAGGTGTCCTGTATAGAGAAGGGTTTCTTTTTAAATGTTCAATTTTTTATCATGTTTTATATATGTTGGAAGCCGCCTAGAGTGGCTAGGGCAAGCCCAGTCAGATGGTGGTGGGGCATAAATAATAATCATTCTGATAATACTAATAAGGAATATAATATAATAATTAATAATAAAAAATTTATTTATATCCCGCCCTACCCCAGCCGAAGGCTGGGCTAGGGGCGGCTAACAACAAACAAAATAATCCAACATTCTAAAAACATTCATTATAAAATTAATTAGATCAAATTAAAATCAAATTAATGGCAACCATCAAGCAAAATTCTGTGCAGATTGCCAGAGGAGGGGGTCAGGCTGCGCCCTGACCAAAGGCCTGGTGGAACAGCTCTGTCTTGCAGGCCCTGCGGAAGGATGTCAGCTCCTGCAGGGCCCTAGTCTCTTGTGACAGAGCGTTCCACCAGATTGGAGCCGCGGCCGAGAAAGCCCTGGCTCTCGTTGAGGCCAGCCTGACCTCTCTGTGGCCTGGGATCTTTAGGATGCCCCTATTTTCACTGGAGAAATGTTGGAGGGTATGGTAAGGCCCTATGCAGCTTGGGACCGGGATACTTGCAAAACTGTCTCATCAGACCTTGCACATCCATTAGGTCTTTATAGGCCGAACTGCCATGGAGATCAGCGAGGAAGGAGTGTAACTCCATCAGCCCCGTCCCATGAGGATCCTAAGTGCCAACAAGACCCACAGACTGTGTGGAATGTCCCCAGGTTCAATCCCCAACATCTCCAGTTAAGGCCGGGACAGGAATCCTGTCCAGCTGCTTCCAGTTTGTGTAGGCAATACTGAACTAGGCAGACCATTGGCCTGACTCTCCTCCATAAGGCAGCTTCCTATGATGGGGCTGCCCTTCCTAGGAAGCCAGAGCTGTGCCACATCTGTAAGAATTAGGTTGTTTAGTGTGGCAGCACACACACTTCGGAACTCCCTGCCTCATGATACCAGGCAGGCGCCTTCACTGTATTCGTTTCGGCGCCTGAGGAAAACATTTTGGTTATCCAGATTACAGTCTGCATGAGTTTTAATTTGATGCAGGGTGGCGCTGTGGGTTAAACCACAGAGCCTAGGACAGGGGTCTGCAACCTTTAAGACAAAAAGAGCCACTTGGATCCATTTCCGAAGGAAAAAAAACTGGGAGCCGCAAGACTCGTCATTATAAAAATAACTTTTTTGTCACTTTTTTATTATTTCTTTGTTTGACCCCTCAGAATTACTCCAACTCATAGAAATAAACGTTAAATTAACAAGTTACCTTTTTTTGTGTGTATGTACTTCACTCCCCTTCAAAACAGTGACCAGCGTATATGCCCCTTTTCAATGCAGTGACCAGCGTAAATGCCCCTTACAATGTAGCGGCGGGTGGGCGGGAAGGTGACATCGGGACAGTGCGTGACTAACGCACGCACCGCCCCCGTGCGACGTCACAGCCAGCACAGCGCCCGCCACAGTGGGGAGTGTCGGGGCGCACAATGCGCCTCCTCCCCTCGCTAGTATCCGCCCCGGAGCCGTGGCAAAGGTGTAAAAGAGCCACATGCGGCTCCGGAGCCGCGGGTTACTGACCCCTGGCCTAGGACTTGCCAATCAGAAGGTCGGCGGTTCGAATCCCAACGACGGGGTGAGCTCCCGTTGTTCGGTCCCAGCTCCTGCCAACCTAGCAGTTCGAAAGCACATGAAAGTGCAAGTAGATAAATAGGTACCGCTCCGGCGGGAAGGTAAACGGCGTTTCCGTGCGCTGCTCTGGTTCGCCAGAAGCAGCTTAGTCATGCTGGCCACATGACCCGGAAGCTGTACGCCGGCTCCCTCGGCCAATAAAGTGAGATGAGCGCCGCAACCCTAGAGTCGGCCATGACTGGACCTAATGGTCAGGGGTCCCTTTACCTTTATTCTGCAGCAGGTTTCACCTTCTGCGTGTTTTAAATTATGGTCGTGTTTTTCTTATTTTTCTGCCTTTTTCATAAGCCACTTTGAGGCTTTTCCCCCTAGATGTTAAGCACAACTTTTATGAAATGAATAAGCAAGAACGTGTGCTCATGCGTGCTTTTTCCTCTCCTCCCTACCAAATCCCCTTTCCTCATAAATTGCCATGCCTTATGGGGATTGCGTGAGCCTGAGGGAAGGGACCATCTCAGAAATCACGTTGGTAAGCTTCTCTGGGAGCCTCTTTTGGGCCAATGGGCGGTGCAGAAATGCTTTCAATAAATTAATATAACTCCTAAATACGGCCCAGGATGTTATGTGGAAGGGGGAGGTCCTTCAGAATTACAATGGAAATGGGGTTTTTGCCTCACACTGAGGGGGCTCTTGGGTGTGCGAAAAGCGCCTCTTCTTTCCCTCAGCTGAGGGAGCCAACTGCCAACCGGCCCCGCCCCGCCCCTTTTGCCCCTTCGCCCCGCCCCTCTGCCCCAGCGGACTCACCCAGGAGCCAACTGTCGGCAAGCAACCAAGCTGAGCTAAATCACTAAGCAAGGCGCAGGTTGCGTGGGTGCACTCGGAGCGGTGCATGCTGGGAAAGGTAGCTCCCCTCCTTCCCCGCGTGCCCACGTAAGCCTACAACTCCCAAGGGCCCTTTCGGCACCGGATCAACCGCCTTCTCCCCTAAAAACTACCGCTCCCGTCATGCCTCCTCATACATTCCAGGCGGCGGTGCACGACGGGAGTTGCAGTCCTTGCCTCAGCCAGCGTTTTCCTCTCTTCCTTCCGCTCCCCAGCCTTGGAAACCCCGTGCGCGGCCGAGCGGGTTCTCTTTCCGGCGTCCGCCATTCCGGGAGCGGGTCGTTGGTGAGTGGCTGCTCAGTGCGGGGCCTGCTTCTCCGTTTCCCTCAGCCTTCCTTCGCCTCATTTCTCGCTCTCGTTGCTTCCTCAGGTCCGACGGCCGCCGCCATGCAGATCTTCGTGAAAACCCTGACGGGGAAAACCATCACCCTCGAGGTGAGGGAGCGAAGAAAGAAAGCACATGAGGGGTTCAGAGCAAGGCCGCTGATCCTCGGGCCTCTTCGCCTTCGTGTCCCCAGAGTTGGGCTTCCAGCCCTTTCTTCCCCCTCCCTCCCGGTAGTTTGTGGCCTAGAGGGAAATGGCGGGTTTTGCGCAGTTCCATTCCGCCCCTGCTCCCTCCCAAAAAGAAGGGGAAAAAAGGGGGGGGGGAGAAAGCCTGTGGCTCATAGAATCACAGAATCGTGCATAGCTGTCAATTTTTTCCTTTTTTAAAGGGAAATTTCCTTATTCCGAATAGGATTCCTCGCAAGAAAAGGGAAAAGTTGACAGCTATGGTAGAGTGGGAATGGGGGGTGTCCCCTGGGGGTCATCTAGTCCAACCCCCTGCAGTGCAGGAATCTCAACTAGATCACCCGTGACAGATGGCCAGCCAGCCTCCGCTTAAAAACCTCCAAGGAAGGAGGAGAGCCCACCACCTCCCGAGCTGAAAGGTCTTAACTGATGTTGGTTCAGAGTCTCCTTTCTTGAATCCGTTGATATTTATGAAGATGGCTATCCCATCACTTTTCCGGGCTCAAAGGCCTTGTAAGCAAGCCACCCGTTTTTGCGTTAACCGAAGACCACAACAGTTCCATCACAGCTTGATGCTGCCCAGCAACACCCAGTATTCAGAGGCATGCTGCTTCTGGTTGTGCAGTGGGTGTGTGGGCACTGTGACTAGTAGCCATTGATTGCCCTTGTTTTTCATGTCTTTATCCAATCTGCTTTTAAAGCTGCCTAAATTGGTGGCCATCGCTGCCACCAGGTATAGGGAGGTATATAAATTCAATTAATAATAATAATGTGAATGCAGTTTTTTATCTCCTCCCTTGCCCGCATCCCATGTCCCCACAATAAAGATAGGTGTTTTTATATCTGAACAAAGAACCCAGGCAGCAGAATAATATAGCAGCCTTCTTTGCCTCTACTATTTGCTGTTGCTGAAAGGAAAGGTTTGAGGAGATGTGCATTCTTTCCATTCTAGCCTGGTGATGGGAAGGGAGACAGCTGACAAGCCAAGCACCAACATTTTTCTACCATTTTATCTGAGCTGTGAAAAACTTTTGTCTCCTGTATGTTAAAACTGCTGTTAAAAGTACAGGAGCAGGATTGGTGTTTGTATGTTGCTACAGAGAATATGACAAGAACTCAATGTTTGATCCGTTAACCAACATTATCTTGTCCAAGGCTGTTTGTGTATTTTAAGAATTGCTAGTTTAAACAAAGCTACTGAGCTAATATGCATGTACTGTTCTAATACCTGGATAGGAGCAGTAATGAATTTATAACTATTTTAAGTCTGTAAAGCAATTAAATGGTGACTTATTTTTATAAACAGGTTGAACCATCTGATACTATAGAAAATGTCAAAGCCAAGATTCAGGATAAGGAAGGTGGGTGTTGCTTTTGTTTCGGAACTTGTGGTTTTAAAATTGTTCTACTATGAAGTAAAGCTTCCTTGCTAGGATTCTCTGTTTACCTGTACCGTTCTTTTCCATCAAATTTGGTCATAGAATGATGCTTTCAGTATGCTGCAGCAAATAGGATACAGCTAGGAATGATGCCTTCTTTATTTAAAATTAAAATAAAAGCTAGGAAGTGTAATTGGGGTACATGTAGAATGAGGTTTATTTTGTTTTTGGTTTTTTTCAAAAAAATTTTTGTTGCATTTTCAAATACAAAGTCAAAAGTGTAAAGTACATGAAGAAAAAAGAAAGAAGCAAAAAGAAAAAAAGAAAGAATCCAACTTTCATAAACATTTTTACATTACCAACCGGACTTCCCCACGTCTCCCTCACCCTGCGTTCCTTTCCATAAACATATCAGCAAATTATTACCTTGTTTCATACCTTACTTGTGTCTTTCAAATATTATTCTTCTAAATTTAAAGTACCTTTTGTCAATAACTTGTACCTTAAAATAAACATAATATAGCTTTAAATTTCAACCTTTTCTTACATTTTTTATCTTAGTTTCTTGCTCACCAAATCTAATTGCTGAAGCTAGAATTTCCAAATCGTGCAACTTCTTAACATTCATACAACTTATAATGTTTTTGTAAATAGTCCTTAAATTTTTTCCAGTCCTCTTCCATTGTTTCTTCTCCCAAATCTCGGATTCTGCTAGTCATTTCAGCCAGTTCCATATAGTCCATCAATTGCGTCTGCCACTCTTCCAGTGTGGGAAGATCTTGTATCTTCCAGTATTTTGCGATAAGTATTCTTGCTGCTGTGGTTGTGTACATGAAAAAAGTTCTATCCTTCTTTAGCACCTCTTGGCCAACAATACCCAGGAGGAAGGCCTCTGGTTTCTTAGGGAAGGTGTACTTGAACACCTTTTTTAGCTCATTGTAGATCATTTCCCAGAAGGCCTTCACTTTTGGGCAAGTCCACCAGAGGTGAAAGAATGTCCCCTTCAGCCCCCTTACATTTCCAACATTTATTGTCAGACAGGTGATATATTTTTGCAAGCTTGACTGGGGTCATGTACCACCTATATATCATTTTCATAATGTTTTCCTTCAGGGCATTACATGCTGTGAATTTCATTCCAATGGTCCATAACTTTTCCCAGTCTTCAAACATAATGTTGTACCCAATATCCTGAGCCCATTTTATCATGGCTGATTTAACTGTCTCATCCTGAGTGTTCCATTTAAGCAGCAAGTTATACATTCTCGAGAGTACCTTAGTCTTAGGTTCTAACAGTTCAGTCTCTAGTTTTGATTTTTCCACCTGGAATCCAATTTTTTTGTCCAGCTTAAAGAGCTCTTGAACTTGGGCATAAAGAAACCAATCTTGCACCCTATTCTTTAATTTTTCAAAGCTCTGCAGCTTCCAGTTATCTCCAATTTTTTCTACT